CTCAAACGTCGTTTGGAAAACTAAACTCGTCCGAATATACTCCAAGGGTGCCTTTGTCTTCTTGTCTTTTGACTTCTGAAGATTATTATACTTAGATTAGATTGCTATCTTAGAAAATTTAACAGAATATACTCATTTTGGGGTTTGTATTCATTTGAATATTTTCCATTAATTGTATTTATTTATAATTTTCATCTGTAATTGTTACCATTTATGATTTTATTTTTAAATAAACAATCATTTTACTGAAAGACTTCGTCTGCCTGGATCTCTCCTGCATCAAATATTGAATATGTCCAGTTGTGAAAGCAGGACCTTCTCAGGTAGAAGGTAGTGTTTGTCTGGTCATGTGATCTCGACCCGCTCCATGACAAATAAAAGAGCTTTAATTAGGACACTTATATGACTTTCTTCAAAAATATCACTCATTTCTGTAGAGCTGGACATTTTAATAAGGACCAAATGAGTGAGTTCAGCTTTGAGAATGAAAACTAACCTGTTTGTTCCTCAGTATCGTCATGTTTGACTGTGAATGCTTCTTCAATCTTCACGTCTTCTCTCTCCTCTTTAATAAACTCCATCTTTATAATAATGTGTCTCTCAGTCATGGAGTTTTCTGTGTGTTTAAGATCAGAATAAGTAAGGGAGGGTTAATGGACTTAAATGGCCTGATTACACACACACAAAATAACACTCTATTTAATTATTTGTAGATCACATTTAATCGATTAGACATTAGACACTGTGACTTGCTTGTAAAATTAGTAGGGATGCACCGAAATGAAAATTCTAGGCCGAAGCCGAACAAAATGAAACACTGGGTTGAATACCGAACACGTTTTTTCACATTTTCCCCCATGTAGGCCTATTTTGCCATTTTCTTCACAATTGCATTAATTAAATAGCCAAAATGTGCTTTTTACTGTTTTGTCCTGCTTTTCAAATAAAAAAATAAATTATAAAACAACAATTAAAAAATATTTACTTAACACTGATCATTTTTTTTTTACATTCTAACAGACATTATACCAACAAAGCACAATTTAGCTTAAAATTAATAAGTTGGTAAAATAATATTAAATTTTTGAGACTTGAATCAAATAAAAGCAGCAGAGACTTCTTTTAAAACATTAGAATATATTACAGATCTCAATTTGAACACTATGTGTGAATACTATAATAAATGTATTACATGACGACAGTAAAATTACGATACTATCATTTATGGTTGTCGATGGAGTTGATGCTTTTTCTCGGTTTTTATTTTGACAGAAACCCGCAGGAATATCTCAGTGCTTCTTTTTGTTGACAACAGCAGCAGATTTATAAATGATTCTCATTACGATTTTGGGAGCACAATTTAGCTTAAAATTAATAAGTTGGTAAAATAATATTCAATTTTTGAGACTTGAATCAGGCATGTGTTTTTTACTGTACAAATAAAAGCAGCAGAGACTTCTTTTAAAACATTAGAATATATTACAGATCTCAATTTGAACACTATGTGTGAATACTATAATAAATGTATTACATGACGACAGTAAAATTACGATACTATCATTTATGGTTGTCGATGGAGTTGATGCTTTTTCTCGGTTTTTATTTTGACAGAAACCCGCAGGAATATCTCAGTGCTTCTTTTTGTTGACAACAGCAGCAGATTTATAAATGATTCTCATTACGATTTTGGGAAGATGTTTGTTGCACGTATCGCATTGTCACATGCCTTTAAAAAAATTCACAAAAACGTTACCGAGCAACTGACGAGTAACAGTTTTAGCGCAGATTTTCCTCGCGCTTTGGACTTTGAACCCTGGCGCCGTGAGCTCGTGCAGCGCTGTCAGAATTAGGGCTGTCAAAATGGCTGAAAAACTATATAATCAAAATTCTAATTATATTCTAATTTAAAATGCATAATTTCCATTAGGGTGAAGAAAAGCTTTTGGCTTCTCTCCTGAGGCCACAAGAGGGTGCATCATTCAAAGCATAAGATAACATGACTATCTGCGGAAAAAGTGCATGTTTAAAATAATGTTTATAAACCAATTATAATTAAGTTGCTTAAACAACTATAAACAAAACAGCATCATGTATGTATACAAAGGGCATTTTTCATTTAAAAACACGAGTTGCAGTGGGATGGGGAAAAAACCCACCATAAAGTCTCGAGTACAAAAACCTTACCGAGCAACTGACGAGTAACAGTTTTAGCGCAGATTTTCCTCGCGCTTTGGACTTTGAACCCTGGCGCCGTGAGCTCGTGCAGCGCTGTCAGAATTAGGGCTGTCAAAATGGCTGAAAAACTATATAATCAAAATTCTAATTATATTCTAATTTAAAATGCATAATTTCCATTAGGGTGAAGAAAAGCTTTTGGCTTCTCTCCTGAGGCCACAAGAGGGTGCATCATTCAAAGCATAAGATAACATGACTATCTGCGGAAAAAGTGCATGTTTAAAATAATGTTTATAAACCAATTATAATTAAGTTGCTTAAACAACTATAAACAAAACAGCATCATGTATGTATACAAAGGGCATTTTTCATTTAAAAACACGAGTTGCAGTGGGATGGGGAAAAAACCCACCATAAAGTCTCGAGGTATGTTTTTTCAAAGTTAACCTTGCATTAATTTTACATGGCTTTCTAAACATGCGGCTCCTTTGTGCGAGACGCGAGTGCAACAGTAACAGATGTTCCTCTAGAAAATGCGTGAAATATGCATTCTGTGTGAACGGTTTTGATGTAAACAAGATCTTCTCCGCATTGATGTTCTCTTGAAAAAACCCGCCATAAAGTCTCGAGGTATGTTTTTTCAAAGTTAACCTTGCATTAAACTAAACATGCGGCTCCTTTGTGCGAGACGCGAGTGCAACAGTAACAGATGTCCCTCTAGAAAATGCGTGAAATATGCGTTCTGTGTGAACGGTTTTCATGTAAACAAGATCTTCTCCGTATTGATGTTCTCTTTTTCCGCTATATTTTTAATGAACAATGCAGCAGCGCCGCATCTAGTGGCTTCAACTGCAGATGTTCCTCTAGAAAATGCGTGAAATATGCATTCTGTGTGAACGGTTTTGATGTAAACAAGATCTTCTCCGCATTGATGTTCTCTTTTTCCGCTATATTTTTAATGAACAACGCAGCAGCGCCGCATCTAGTGGCTTCAACTGGATACACTAACAAAAACTATATAATGCAACGACACTTACACCGTCATCGCATCTCGTGCGTCGCTGATAAGCTGCCTCCTTAATGCACACCTAAAATTCGAATGTGGATTTTTATTTTAAATTAGATGAATATTCGACATTCGAATTATTTTTTGACAGCCCTAGTCAGAATACATGCGTGTATTAGAAAATATAACATTCTGCAGTTTATTTACTAATCGTTTGAGGTCATTTCACGATTTCAATCCTCATACAGTAGCCTAACCACCAGCATCAGCCGCCACCTCTTCTCATCGGAGACGTGATGCAGCACTAAACAGTCTCTCGCTGTCGGCGCTTCATGCTTGTAATGATTTCTGCGTCTTTCTCTGATAGTTTTAAATACTTTCACACTGTCGACATGTTTGCTGCATTAGCGCGTGCCTCTATTAGATCGTGTTCGTCATTGTTCGGTTCATATTATTCTGCTTTTTCGGAAGAGATTTTTTTTGCTATTTTCGGCCGCCGAATTTCGGTTGCCGAATATTTGGTGCATCCCTAAAAATTAGACAGATTTAACAACTCTCAAAATAAAGTGCTCTGTGACTGGAAAGAGGAAGAAATAGTTATGAATATTCGACATTCGAATTATTTTTTGACAGCCCTAGTCAGAATACATGCGTGTATTAGAAAATATAACATTCTGCAGTTTATTTACTAATCGTTTGAGGTCATTTCGCGATTTCAATCCTCATACAGTAGCCTAACCACCAGCATCAGCCGCCACCTCTTCTCATCGGAGACGTGATGCAGCACTAAACAGTGTCTCGCTGTCGGCGCTTCATGCTTGTAATGATTTCTGCGTCTTTCTCTGATAGTTTTAAATACTTTCACACTGTCGACATGTTTGCTGCATTAGCGCGTGCCTCTATTAGATCGTGTTCGTCATTGTTCGGTTCATATTATTCTGCTTTTTCGGAAGAGATTTTTTTTGCTATTTTCGGCCGCCGAATATTTGGTGCATCCCTAAAAATTAGACAGATTTAACAACTCTCAAAATAAAGTGCTCTGTGACTGGAAAGAGGAAGAAATAGTTCACTTAAAAGTAGTTGCTGTACGTAACAAAACCGATGTAATTTCCCACTGTTTATAAATGATCATTTTTTCCCCCTAACCTTATTAAATGTGTCATCTTTCACATCAAATTCTTACTTTGATTCAATTAATTCAGTTAGAATAATAAGAAACTGTAGAGTCGTTACCATTGGAATGAAATTAGTATTAACAAACTGTATCTTTCCACTGCTGAGGAAACAGAAGCTGCATCTGAAGTGGCGTTAGATGCATTTACACACACAGTTTGAAGAAGCTGAGGTGCCATGAATGCATTTACACTGCAAAATTTCAAATGCATAACTCATTTTATAAGAGTAATGTTTTGCATATTTTTTTTAAACACAAATAAGTTGTGAAAAATGCAATGATACTTTTAAATATGACTAAACCCGCAGTAGGTGGCGGCAAAAGTCTGTTTTAACGAGCGAGTCATTTATTCATTCATTCAACCAATTCATTCAAACGTCTGATTCATTCAGAAACGAGGCAAGTGACTGTCCTTATGAACGGGCCACTGAATCATTGACTGGATTCATTCAGTAACGAGGCAAGCGACTGTCCTTATGAACGGGCCACTGAATCACTGACTCACTCGATTCGTTCAAAAACGTGGATTCATTCAGTAACGAGGCAAGCGACTGTCCTTATGAACGGGCCACTGAATCACTGACTCACTCGTTTCGTTCAAAAACATGGATTCATTCAGTAACGAAACACGGTAATGAGGCTAACGGAGCACGGTTGTTGAGAGGCGGTTGGCGACACTAGGGTGTGACTGGAGCAGAGATGGAAG